TTTTTTTTTGTGGTGGCTGTTACTGCCTTGGATTTTAATTGTGTGTGTGTTTAAAGAGTTTTTAGAGGAGAAAAAATGTGTGGCGCACGCAAGAATTTTTATTTGCGGTTACAGTCACGCAAGACGCCTCATCACTCCCCTTCACCCATCGCGGACACCTGGAAAAAGACTTGCCACGTTTTAATCACATTTCTCCCAAAGGAATCAGACGCAGGAACGTCGTTTGACCGCCGTGGCAATAAATTATCCTCACCCCATTGAAGCGTTGTTACTTTTGGGACGACACGCGACTTCACGCCATGGCTCTTGCTTACGGAGGTCCACCGCTCCCAGTGCTGTGGTTTGGGCCCCTGCTGCAATGGCTGTTGGCCGCCCATGGCGGCTTCCGTGGCGTTTTGGCTACTTTGGCTCGTCTGGGTGGACGAACAGCGCGCATCGGGGGGCGAAGACCCATCCGTCGCTTGACAGTTGTACCCAGAAGGCGTATTTGTATCACCGATGCCGGCGTCGCTACGCTCGAGTTCAGCTAAACGACCTCGCCTGACAGCCACAAGCCCCGACCCTTGCCTGGGTACCGCTTGTGCAGCCGCCTCCCTCGACCGTTCCACGGCCTCCCGAATCGGCCGACGACCAAAACCTGGCGCCAACGTACGGTGGCTGCTTGACAGCGGCGTGCGCAGTACGCGGGAGGAACTTCCCAAGGACGGCACCTGCCGCACCGCGTCGGGATACATCGAGTTAGAAACTTGGACGCCATTTCTTGGGGGTTGTGGCTGAACAGGTCGTTTTCGCGCCAACTCCTCCGCTCCCTCCCGCTCACGCCGTCGCTGCTGCTTCCGAATTTGCGCCTCCTGCAGCTGGCGCTGCTGCGCCTCCTTTACCTCCGCGTACCCCAAATCGTACAGGTACCGCCGCGTCGGATCACTTAATACATCGTACGCGTCCTTGATGTCACGAAAACTCTCCGTGCAGCCCTCGTCAGGACGATCCGGGTGGTACAGCAGGGCAAGCCGTTTAAACGCATCCCGCACCTCCTTCGCGGAACAGGATGGATGCAACGAAAGCAGAGCATAGTAGTCCACAAACATCGCCTCCACCACACCCGCCTCTAGGGAGGAGAATAATTCGCTCCAAGCACTTGTTTTTTTTTTCTTGTTGCCGTTGTTATGGTTCTTCCTCTTTTTTTTTTGTTACCTTGGTACTACTCCTGTTAATGATATTAAAAGGCAATTTCGCACACACACACACACACACACAACGGGAAGAGAAAAACGCAATGACTCTTATTTTTGGGCTTCAACTGTATGGGGGCGTATATATATATATATATATAGACGCGAGTATGCACGTAGCCGCCACAAGGTGACTGGCCTAAAACATGCGTAGCAACAAAAGGCAGAGAAAGGGAGGATCCGCATCATGTAGCACAATCAGGAGGTCATGAACGAGGAATAAGAAGCACACATGTTTTTTTCTTCCTCTTCCTCATCATCTGCCAGTCCCAGCCGCCCCCTACGTTCACTTCCTTGTTTGGAGCGTGTGCGGCTGCGGCTGTCGTCTTTATTCAGTGCTCCTCCCCCAGTTTAAACGAGTGCGCACAGCAGGAGAGAAAGAGTGAAAAATAAATAGAAGAAGCGAGGTCCACTTCGTGGCACACGCCTCCTTTTTCAATGAGTTTTTCCTTGTCTGTGTGCGTGTGCGTTACTTTTCTTCGGAAGGAGCCGCCTGGCGTCCATCCTTTTACGGCCCTTATTTTACTTCGTCCCGCGACGGACCCTCTTGGCCTCCTGCCGCTCACGGGAGCTCAGCAGTGCGTTCTCGAGCGCGTCAACGCCCATAATGGCGTCCACCGTGCGGCTGCTAAGTTTGCCCTGCCGCTCCTTCTTCACGTAATAGCTGTCCTTCAGCAGCTCGTCAAGTTCTGCCTGCTTCCACGCCCGGCTCCGCTCCCCGCGGGTCATCTTTGTCAACTTCAGAGCCTCCAACTTCTCATTGCGCTCCGTGCGGTGACGCTTCTGGGGGCTTTGCTCCGCCTCCGCCCTCTCACCCTCCAGCTGGGCGGCGTCTCCTTCCTGCGCCTCCTCGCGTGGACGACGCACACCACTAAGCTGAGCCCTACGCTCTTGCCGCTCGCGCGTCCGCGCATTAACAATCCTCAGAACCTCCTGCAGCTCATCCTGTAAAGGAATCCTCAGCAGTTGCATGTGCTTAATTTCACCGCAGTTGGGAACCTTGAAGAGGGCAAAGCTATGTGTCAGGTCAGTGAGGTCGATCAGCTGCAGTTGAAATATGTACCGGCACTCATGCTCCTTGTAGGCGCGAATGAAGGAAACAAAGGCACGCGTCGCCAAGCCAAGCAGTTTGTCATCCGCATCATCCCTAACGGCGTGTCGCAACTTAAGAATCGACGAACTTTCGCACACATCTCCCATCACTTCTTTTCGCGCAGTACAAGAGACCCCACCACGCGCCGCCTCGCGCTCCTTCCGCAGCTTCTCACGACGCTCCTTGCGATTTAGTTTCTGATCCCGGTGGACTTTTTGAATGCTCTTGCGTCGCTCCTGCTGCGAGCTCATCAGGGTGCGCTTGGCGTTCATTTGACCCACAACGCCCAGCGCAGCCTCTATGCTATCCTTCTCTTCATCGTACGGCTGCAGGGACACATTCTGCAGCTTCATAAAAGCGACATACTCCAACTCTTGCGGCATCAAAAAGACAAGGCTCTCCCCCTGGCGGCCCATGCGAGCCGTACGACCGATGCGGTGAATAAACGTTGACGGGTCAACGGGAGGATCGTACTGCAGTACGACGCCGACCTCGGGAATATCTAGCCCTCGTGCCGCCACGTCTGTGCAGACGAGAACGCAACGCGTTGCCCGCGTCACAGCCCTGTGCACGCGTTGTCGCTTCTCAAGCTTCATCTGTCCATGCAGAGCGAAAATGTTTCCCGCGTCTCCCGGGAGTAGCACGTCAACAAGAGCCGCGTAGAGCCAGTCCACGCTGGCGCACGTCATCACGTAAACAATAATTTTTTGCTCACGGCGCTCCTGCAGAAATGAGATCAGACGGTCAAGCTTTTCCGACGCCCGTGTAAAGGTGTAGTAGTTGCAGAGCAACTCTGGAATCTGCGGCTTCGCCTCGTTCATGCTGACGGAGTTGAGGGAGCTCACTCGCACCGTAACGGAAACCGGATTTCGCATCCCCGCGCGAGCCAGCTCCGCCAGCTCCTTCGTCTGCGTGGCACTGAAAAGTCCGGTGCGTCGCTGCTTCGGGAGCCGCTTGAGTATGGCGTCCAGCTTCGCCTTAAAGCCGAACTCAAGTAGCTTGTCCGCCTCGTCGAGAATAAGCAGCTCAAATCCGGCAAAGTTAAAGAGACTCGTGTATTTTGAGGACACCAGCAGCTCGTAGAGTCGCCCCGGTGTGCCAATCAAAACATGGCCCCCTGTTTTATTGAACAACTTGACATCCACCGCAATATCGCGGCCACCAATGTAGCACTGACACGAGTACTTTGGAAGACCGGCGTTTCCGCCTGCATAAACGTGTGAGACGAAATGGAGCATTTTCTTCGCGAGCGAATAGACCTGCTGGGCCAGCTCGCGCGACGGCAGCACGACGATGGACACGACGGCATTTTTATGCTGTCTGCAGACCTCAACCACGCGTTCACTCTGCAACATTTCGAGACACGGCAACAAGTACGCCAGCGTCTTTCCACTTCCCGTGATCGCCTCCACCACGACGTCGTAGTTGCGCAGCAGGAGAGGGATGGTCTGCGCCTGCACGGGTGCCATGCACTGAAACCCGGCACACTCCGACAGGTAGGAGAGCGTGGCCGGGCGCAGCTGTACCCCTTTCATGTCCTTCCACTCATTTTGGCTCACACCACTCATCCTGGGGCGGCAACACGTCTGGGCACTAGACGCGCAGAATAAGCAAAATAGCAAGAAGAAGAAAAAAAAGCGGGAGGAACGCACGACGGAATTGCGACGAAGTCACAAGTCTTCAATCAACAGCAAGAGTTGGTCGAGAAGAAGCGGTTTTAGGAAGGAAAGAATAAGGAGTTGTTTTTTTTTTGGCCGGCGATGCGTGCGGGCGCGAACACCCCACACAGTATTGGTGTCAGGCGCATCACACTAAACCACCTCCGCCTCTGAGCGAAGCACCTCCTGTGCAAATTCATCAATGACGTCACTGTAGCCTCCAAGTAGAGGCAGTGTATTATGCTTTCCCTCAGGAAAGCCGACAAATCTTCGCAAGGACTTTGATTTTGCCGCGGCCGCATACAACCGTTGCATTTGCCACGCCGGGACCACTTCGTCTCCTGCTCCGGAGAGAAAAAGCATGGGTGCTCTGACTCGTTCCACCAGGTCGAGGTTCCTCCACCCGATGCGCAGACACAATGGTTTCACGTAGTAGTCAAACAGACAGATCCAAAGCGCAGGGCAGCGCGTCACCAACTGTCGCACCGCCACTCGCGCCAATACAGACGCCATGTCACTGATAGAAGTAAAGGTGTTTTCAACAATCAATCCAGCGATACGGTTCATGTTCGCTGGCCGTGACGCCAGATGTATAGCAACCGCACCTCCCAGACTTGTTCCCATGACGAAGATACGCCCATGCGGTACGCGGGGATGATTCCAGACGTACTCCAAGCACGCCTGTGCATCTAACTTAAGTCCCTCCTCCGTGGGTGGAACAGAATCACTAAGACCAAATCCACGGTAATCCATCATTAGAACTGCACAGCGATGTTTTGTGGTGAGGAGGGCTGCAATTGGTATGCGGTGACCCACGTTCCCGGCGTTTCCGTGGAAATACACAATGGCATAGCGCGGCACGGAGGTTAAAACGTCTCCATTGGCCGTCGAACTGCGCGGAGAGAAAGGCCCAGCGCCCAAACCAGAATTTTGACTCCTACAAGAAACTTTTGGGTCCCCTTGTGGCGCCGGCTGCTGTTCAGGTGGTGGCCACATCATAAATCCACGCAGCGTCACACCATCCGCGGTGCGTACGTGCACGCTGTCTGTGTTAACGAACCCGCTATCAACTGGATTCTCGCAGGTGACTGTGCTCTCCGCCGGGTTCTCGGGGAAGTACAGGAAGCGGTTCTGCTTCTCGCGCAGGCGATAGCTAAGCGCGACAAGGAAGAGGGAAAAGAAACCCAAAATCACACAACCCCAGAAACTACATGACACAATGTACTCCAGCACCTCCATTCCTGTCAATGCTGCTGTTGGTTTGTCTTCGTTTCGTTTCGTAGGTAACGGTGGGTGTGTGGATGTGCCGCAAAGCAATCGCCGTCGCTGTCCGCTTACTCCCTTCTTGGCTCCAATGCGCTGAAGCGCAGTGAGGTACTTTGTCTGTGCAGCGCGAGGGGCCCTGGCCCTTCTCTCCCCCCCCCCTCTCCACAGTACCTTAAAAAAAAAACTCGCAGAAAAAGGCGTCCGTGCCTTCTCCTGTGACCCCTACGGGAGAAACGTCGGAGGGAGAAGAAAAAAGGCGCGTTTACGTCGGCACCAAGACCCCACCCTCCATCAATGGCGCAGAAAAAAGCGAAAAACATACAAAAAAAACAGAAAAAAAATTTCTACGCACATACGCAGAGAAGCAACAGAAGAACACAGCTTGAGAGAAAGCGGCATATCCACTAGCGGCCCCCGCAAAATATTTAAACTGGGAGCCCTCGCCCCCTTAGATTTTGTTTGTTTGTTGTTGCTGTTTTCGGTCACACAAAGCCATTCGCACAATAAAAAAAGACTCATTATGGTTTTCTCTTGTTGATTTTTTTTTAAATCCTAAATCAAAAACAACGAAAAAGAAAAAGAAGGGGGGGAGGCAAACGCAGTAGCAAGAACCGTACCAAAGCAATAAAGGCGGCGTTGAAGTGAAACCCAAAGACGCACGCTGCACTATCTCTGAGATTGAGACATAACACACACACGCACACACATGCAAACAGATGTGCTCAAACTGGGACAACTTCCTCCACATATCCCTATCGATAGACACGCAGATAGGCATGCAGCTGAATGAGTGCATGCATGTGTGAGCTGAATAACTGTTTTTGCGTACTATTTGCGCTGCTCCCTCTCTCGCGATTCATCCTTTAAGTTTTTCTCAGCAGGGGCAGGAGCTGTGATTATCCTGCGGTGCGGGCTGGTTGAGGTTGACGGACTGCGGCAGCACTACATCCTCCTCCACCGCTGCTCTTTGGGCCAGAGCAGCTGTGGCAATGGCGAGAAATGCCTCCTCCACCCCCGTGTTCTCCTTTGCAGAGGTCTCAAAGTACCGCATACAACATCCTCCCGCTCCGCTGGTGGTGTTGCTGCCCCCGTTGCCGTCACCAGCAGCAGCGGCGGCGTCACCGCTCTGCGCCACGCACCATGCCTGTGCAACCTTGCTTGCCACCTGCCGACGATCCGCGAGGTCTGTCTTGTTTCCGATCAGCACACTGTCACGCTTGCCCGCCTGAATGTTGAACTCCTCCAGCCAGGCGCCTATGTGGGAAAAGGACTCCTGCTGCGTGACATCAAAGACGAGGATGCAGGCGTCCGCGCCGCGGTAGAAGGCAGAACCGAGCGACTGAAACCGCTCCTGCCCGGCCGTGTCCCAAATCTGCAGCGTTACCACCTGTCCATTTAGCTCCAAGTCCTTCGTGAGAAAGTCGGCACCAATGGTGGCCTTATAACGACTGTCAAACTTTTTGTTTACATACTGATGCATAAGCGACGTTTTTCCGACCCCACTGTCGCCAAGGATGATGATCTTCAACAACTGGCGCTTTGACGTCATGCTCGCACACGCACCCTCCCGTTCAGTAAATTCAAGTGCTGTGGATATTTCTCTCAGTGAATGTATACAACCGTACTATGGAGGTGGTAGTCTTGCTCTGGTGAAGTGTTTTTCTTTTTTTTCCTTTTCTTTTTTGCTTCCCTTGCGTGAGGACACTCTCACAGACCAGTCAAAAATGAGCAATACCGCCAGGCACCGTCAGCGCGCACTCATATGGGGAGTGGGAGGCCACAGAACCAAACAGGCAAAAAAAAAACAGCAGCACGAGAAGCACAACTCACAATACAGCGGTTCCCTGCCCATGCATAGTTCCATACTGGGGAGGAAGGAGAGGGGGAGGGCTGGGTATATAATGATTCGAAAACGAGAGAAAAAAAAAAGATTGAAAGAGAAGAGAAACAAGAAAAAGTTTACATGTTTCGTCTTTTTTTTCCTTCCCACGTTTAGCGAGCCACTGGTTCCGTTCTCCATGTACATATAGACACATCTAGATTTTTATGTATGTTTACGATGCATGTGCCATTGACACCTCGCGTACGTACACTCCCTCCCTCCGGTCTCGCCGTCGCCCCAGAGGCACACGACCACAGCTTGCGCGGCGAACTTCCCTGCCCTCATGTCGTTCCAAGGGCCCTCGTTTTCCTTTTTTAAAAAGAAAAAAAATTGCGCGTCTATCATTCGACCATCCACCGTTCCTCGCCGCCGGCCTTCGGCCGTTCCGCTTCCTTCAGTCCGTTCATGATCAAATTTTTTTTTTGCTGCTTTGTTTTTGTCCACGTCTCTGCGCCCCGTTTGTGCGGAGGCCCCTCCTGCCCACCACCACCGCACACACACACACGCCGTGGAGGCACAGAAAAATAAAAAAAACTCCATACACGCGACGGGGGGGGGGGGGGAACTGAGGTTGAAAGGGACAAAAACAAAGAAAAACCGCGGTTGGAAGCGAAGAGGGAAGGACCGGGGAGGGTGGGCGGGCGCCACCACGCCCATGTGCTCCCCGTCCACCATCCCACCACGGCAGAAGGCACTCACGTGTTCCACACACACACACACATACACACACAACCATAACCACGATGGGTCGCTAGGGAACCCATGAAGGAAGCGGATGGGGCCCACGCGCAAACCCTACGGCGAAATAGAAAAATAAAAACAAAAATAAACACTACAAAGACAAACAAAAGATCAAAATAAGTTTTTCATGATTTCAGTTGTGAGAGAGATAATGTGGCAGCTGCAAGCATGTTAAGAAGAGTTCCTCTTCTTTCTCCGCTCTCTCCGGGGGCCTGTGCGTACGGACAGGCACGCAGGAAAAGTAAACTGAAAAAGGGGTGAAGTTGGAGGAAGAAGAAGGGGAAACAAAAACGGCAAAGGTTCAAATAGGGAACAAAATCAAAATAGATAAAAAGAGCTGAAGTATGTCAGACGCGGACACCTCTGCACCCTTCAGACCCACACCAATGCCACAGAAAACACCTCAGTAATGCGCCACAATCTACGATGCCCCGTTGCATTTCACATATTACTACTTGTAAACCGCTTACGGTGAATAGAGAAAACCCCAATACTGCAAGAAATACCACTCCACTTTGCATGTTGATTGTTAAGCAATGCCAATTTTTCACGCTCACCCACAGTCCAAGAATTAAACTCCAAACGTCAAAGAGAGCCAGAAAATTTAATACAACAACAATGCTCACACCAAAAGCAGTACTTCAGCCTCAACCAAACATCATTACTCCAACAACGCAGTCATCTGGAACGCGTCTGAACAAAGCGAAAGAGCGCAAGCAGCTCAAGAAAGAAAAACCGTCATGAACGACTCCCCGGTCACACACCACCAAGCGATAAAAGCAAGAAGAACCAAAACAATCTAAAACCCACGGAACTCGGCCTGCTGCGCGGCGGTCAGGGGCGCCGCACGATCCTCGCGACTTTCGGGGTAGCGGTCAAAGTTGCTCGTGTCGCCGGGGTTCTTCGCCTTCACAGGGATAGGGGGAGGGTAGTGTCGCGCGTACAGCTTATCCCAGTTTGCACTGTGAAAGTACGGGTGGTTCTTCACATCCGCTGCGCCACCCTTTAGCGTCCCCAGCCGCTTCGTGTGGTCCGTTTGCAGCAAACCCTTCACAAGATCCCGCGCACGCGCGTCGAACCAGTTCGGGAACTTGAAGCGTCCAGAAAGAATCTTCTCGTACGTTCGGAACGGCGTGTCATCGTAAAATGGGGGATACCCGGCGATGAATTCGTACAGCAGAATGCCCATCGTCCACCAGTCCACCGCCTTCCCGTGGCCCTTGCTCTGGATCACCTCCGGCGCAAGGT